AGCGCGATAAAGGACGACGATCGGAGAAAGTTGGAGGATGGGAAAGGACGAAATGAGAAGAAAAAAGTAAAACGGGAGAGGGCGAGAAAAAGAGAGAGAGAGAGAGAGGGAGGATCATCTTGGATGGTGCTATGCCGGGAATGAGTTAACCCACTGATTCTCATCGCGTATCTCGCTTCGCTAGCGACGTTTGTATTAGACGATAAAATTCGGCATTAGACGGTCGCGCGCGGCCGAATGGAAATAAATCCGCGACGGCTCTGCCTCTTTTTCTCACTCTCTTTCTCTCTTTCTCGCCCGAGAGGAAGTCCATCTGGGACATTTTCGCCGCGACGATTAACGAAGCAGAACGCCGCTTCAGATTCGCGGACAATCTAGAAGTGCATTCCGAGAATCGGCCCCGCTTCTACCCAGATCCGAGCCCTTTTACTTATGCGCTCGTTTTCGAAAGAATGTTGCCTGGTCGCGTATGTATCGAGATACACCTGACTTGCGTGCCAACACCGGTTCAACAACCCGTAACCGTGCTCGACGAATTTCTTTTCGTTTTTCCTTTCCTTTTTTCGTTCTTACCCTCTTCCTCCTTCCTTTTTTTTCTTACACTTTCCGCCTGATCGGCGACGTGTAATTTAGCGATCGCGGCACGCCGATTAACCGAGTACAATGCTGTACTCATTAGGAGCCGAACGAGTAACAAGTTTTAGGCGTGTGTAGACGAATCGTGCGCGGTCCGTGATAATTCAGTCCACCTGCACACTGCCCTTCGACGAATCTCTCTTTTCCTCTCTCTTTCTCTCTCTCTCTCTCTACCTTCCTCTGTTCATCAATCTCGTTAACTGTCGATAACGAAATATTCCTCAAGTATTCCTCCTTCGGACAGAGTGCCGACGCTTTCGTATCGTTATCTTGTCGCGCGATTATAATTATAACCCGTAACGGTTCAACATTCTTTTTCTCGCGCTGCACCGCGCTCTGTGCAAACCGACGAAAAAGCGCTTTTAATTACCGAAGGTTGCAGGCGTGCGCGATTAATTGACGTCTCACTCGGATTGTCGAAACCCACCGGTGACTTGAAAAGGGCGGAGTCATTACGCGCGGTAAATTCTCCCTCCGGCCGATATCGTAACTCGACATGTGGCGACACGCCACGGTATCGACGCGCGAGCGACCGGACGATCCTGGAGGGGTGGGTGCGGCCTGATTATTACTTTGTAATGGTTTTCACATGTCGCCAATGCCGACAAATGACTCTTCGATTTTAAATAGTTATCGGAGGACGTCGCTGCGCTACCCCCTGGTCTGGCCCTCGACCATCCCGCCCTCCCCTCCGTCCCTCCCTGCTCCTCTCTCGCGAGAGATGCATCGTATTCATTGGTCATCGGCGAAACATCCACCGGATCGATAGCATCGACGCGAACAAACGGCCGATGAACTTGCTATTCTCACGGCGGTATCCGCCACCCGCCGCCCACCTCCCCCCTGGATACCCCTGCCTCCTCCGACGCGTTCGCGTATTTTTCTTTTATTTTCACTCCGCAAACCGGGGCGATTTAATTTAAATGTTATACAGTGGCGATTACAAGCTTTTATAGAGTTATCCGTGGCTTTACGAGCTACGCGTCATTAATAGCCCCCCCCTCCCCTCCTTCCTTCTTCCGAGGAATTAATGCTGACCTCAGCGGCAGCCTGTCTCCCGAGTCGCGCGGCGTTTCGTGCGCCGCCGATCACACAGCGCGCCCTTCAACGAACCGTTTAATGAGCTGCGTGTCGCGTACGTACAGGGCAAAATTAATATTGCTTACTTCGCGGTTCGAACCGCGGGAATCGCGTAATTAGGAGAATTCGCGGGCGAGACGACCGGCTCGTGAGTTGGCCGGGTATTGTCGCGCCGCTGACTTTACCGCGCGCGAGGATAATGCTAAGGGGACGATGTGCGCGATCGCGAGGAGACCCGGAGACTCGAAATTTCAAATTCTACGTTGTTTCCAGGGGAGGAAACGAAAATAAGTTCCTATTTGTAACATTAAATGAGCACTTAAATCGCGCTCCTTTAATGCTTCATACAGCAGTTGAGATCTCCGGAGTCGAAATTTTAGTTCCACATTAAGTCTCCAAGTGGAGAAAGCGGCATAACTTTCCCCATTTGCGGCAACAATGGAAGATCTCCTTTGAAGATTTAATGTAGAACTAAATTAGACTGAAAGTAGAATTAGAATTTCGGAGAGCGTTATCGAGCGGTGAACGCGCAAAAAGTTAATTCCCAAGCGCGGAGCCGGCTCGGGAATTTGTATGATGCGCACCTGACAGACAGGTCGTAATCTCTTTCATCTGTATCAATGGATCTATCAAACGGGAGGTGGAGTTACGGCCGAATTTTAACATCGGCTGACTTTCGTCGGACAAGAAACCGCTGCCTTTCACGCGAAGAATAACTCGTCCCACCATAAAGGATTCTAATACAGGCGCGAGCCGAGGAATCCAATAATCCCTCGGCTGATTATGCGAACGAAAGTGGCCGTTGACCGTTAAGAAACAAAACGCAGAGTCTTATGTCTGAATGAGGTTTCGGCGCGCTCGCTCGCTTGCCCGCTCGCTCGTTCGCGCGCGCCGAACGCCGCCGTCTCTTCTTCTGCTGCAAGCGCATTCAAGCGCAATTCAAAATCTCCCGAAGCCGTCTGTGAATGCCGATGGAACGTCGCCTCCCCGATGAGCAGGATGTGGTGCACCACAAAACTTTATTGCTCGTTAAATTGTAACTTACGCTTTGCGCCGTGGCGCATATAATCAGTATTATGTCCCGCGCCGCGTTTCCGAACCGAATATTACGCGAACGTGTTATAAAGCCACTGTGAGTCGGCGAAACTACCTCTCCTCTCCGCTACTGAATTTATGCCATTTGCCGGAGATACTTCGTGATATATTTACAGCGCCGCGTACACGAATTTATCGCCGCGCTATTTGCGCGCGGTATTTATAGACAGCGCCGTGCGAACTTGGCGAACGAGCCAATTTGCGATGGAAATTCTACGTCGTGTAAATTGAGGTAATCCTTCTCCCAAGGATACGATGGGACGAATTCGCTCGAGTCGCGCTCTCGTTAGTCCAGATAACGTAACCTCGTGAAAATGACATGATTGTTTATGTCACACTTGGAGCAATTTTCTCAAATGCTTGTATGAACGACGTATCTAGAACGTTGTATGCGTTATGTAAGACACTTTAAAAGATACATTTTTTTAAAAGGGAAAAACAAAGTTTCTTCTAGTCCGATTGAGATTGCATCTGGTCGACAACATGCGATCAGCGTATCTATCGTGTCTATAAAAAGGAGATACGTTGATTTATATTCTTGTAAATAAACAAATAAATAAAATATACACGAGTCACCCCGGCTTGGCGACTGTTAATCGAATTGTTATCCGCATTCTCGCGTCTTCAACTCGAATTTCTACACCCGACTCTCATGAGCGTCGAGATAACTTGGATTATTATTGGCGCTGAATGCGCCAGCCTAGTCTAAATTGGCAGCCATTTAAATTTCTTCGGTTGTGCATTATGCATCGAGAATGAGATTTTTACCAGGCGGAATGCCGCGACTTCCTTTGCAGGCGTCATCGACCCGCGGACAGAAGAATAAGAATGCCGAGCCTAGGATCTGCTCCTGCATGGCAAACAGATGCATTCACAGAAATCTTCACTTCCTCTGCAAATAAAATGTACGCGTGTACGAGCGTGTGCGCCATGTTAGATGCGGGCTACACCGCGCAGGAAGTCCAAGTATACTTCGTGCGATGCCACTTCTCGGCCAGGCGATCGCAAACACGTTGTTCATCGCTCGCATAACCATCGAGGGAAAACGCTACAACGTCAAAATGCAACGTGTATCGCGTGGCACTTGAAAGGCCTGACACAAAAAGGCCCGCGCCGCGAGTGCCGCGCGCGGATAATTGGACGCGAGCTATCCAATGTGCGAAGTCAACGTTTGCGAGAACATTTTCACGACGCGTAACAAAGAGATACAAATGAGGGAATTTGCATACGCGCATTTTCGCGCGTAAATAGATAGTCTATTATCTTCGAATGAGAGAAGGTGAGAAGGAGAGAAGAAAGAAAGAAAGAGAGAGAGAGAGAGAGAGATTATTAACTCGCCCCATTTAAATATTATTCCCCTCCAAATATTAGCCGAAGAAGAACAGCTTCTTCTCGTGATTTTTATCACTCAACCGCTCGCGGTCGTCCCCCGAGTCTTCGTTTGTACTTGCGGTTTTACGAGCACGCCAATGCGCGGTACTTGATTACCCTCGACGCACTTTTCTAGTCACCCCGGCCTCTCTCCTTTTCGTTCACTCGCGCGTCACACGAAGGGCCGCGGAGGAACGGTACGAAGGAACGGTGCGCGCGGCTCCACGTTCCTCCTTAAACCAACTGACGTGGTGCAATATGTGCTTCCTGTGTGTCGTCGAGCTTCCTGCGAGGATAATCACGAAATTAGTGGTGTATCGGGTCATGAGTACGATAACCGCAGGATGGCGAGGGAACCCATAGCAGATCAAATCCAAGACGCAGGTGCGGCCTGCTGTGACCCCTTCGTCTTCTCTCACCGACCGAAACTACGTATTAGTAGATTACGGGAAATCAACTGACCGATCTGTCCACGTAACACGCTTCCGTGCGGTAGCATTTTAACAATGGTGTCTCGTCGCCTCTCCGAAGAGGCATCCTTAAAATGGGAGAAGTTCGTCTTCAATACTCGTAGATATTTTTCGGCACCATCATCGACGTGCGAAAAGATTTCTCCGCGGTCCTCGCGAAAACGCGATTGAAATTGTTGATACATATTTCCCGCATATGTTTCCTCACCTCATAATACACACCGTTGTGTGTATTCAGGCAACGATTCAATCGATTTTAAAAACTTAAACTTGAAAATTTCAAGCGTAAAAAACACCGAGATGGATAGTGAATGGATAGTTCGTTATTTGGATATCGTTTGATTGCAGAACGGACGAGTGGCTGGTAGCTCGCGAGCTGTCATTTCTCGACACGTAGTTTCCTCTTCCGCGGCGCCCGCCTCTCCCCGAGAAAGACAAGAAGGCTTCAGCGCAATAGCCCAGACTTCCGCAGGTAATGTAATAAATAACCTCGCCGCCTCCCCCATTCGCCATTTCCTCTGCGGAACAAAAAGCGGCCATATGGTGCTTAACTACGCGCGCACGAGAAACGATAAGCATCGAAGGAAAGGGGAAGAAACTCGCTTTCTTCGCGAGGATGCGCTCGGCACGATTTCGTTGTCGGATTACGGAAAACGTATTTTGGCACGTGACGATAGGCCGCCCATTTTCGACACGGTAAACCGAGCTTCCTGCGAAACGATACACGAGTCCGGGAATCGTTGGGAATTATGTTGCCACAAAAGCGAACACGCGACGTCCTTAAGGACGTAATTTGAATACAAGGATGTATTATTCGCAACAAAAAAACCCTACGAACTGCAAACTTTCTTTATTTTGTTGACTTTACGTATAAATTGTTCCTGTAAATATTGCTCAATTTTTCTTGCACTCACAGCCTTCCTCATTCTCTCTTGCCAGTTTTTCTTGAATCTTTCTCTTCTTCTTCTCTCTAAGAACTACTACTCCATTATCTATACAGATCTGATATCTTTTTTCTTCTTTTTTGCCTTTGTTGACACGTTTTTCTATTTCTTCGTTTCATCAAAATTTGATATTAATTTATCATTGTTTCCGCAAGCTTCTCCAGCCGCTTCATGTAAGCCTTTTTATAAAATTTTCGTATACCTCTGTAAACGGTTGATCCAGCTTTTCTATCAACTTCTCGAGTCATTTTTTAAATAGATTGTTTCATATTTTTGAAAGAGATGTTTCTCGAAAATTCTGACGAGATAGACAGTTTTGATGCCTTGTTTCACTTTCACGAGTTTGATATCCTCCGAGTGGGACTTTGCGTATTTTTGTCATCGTCGAAGTGCCTCTTTCTTTTAGGCCATTGCTCCTCTTTCCGAAGACGTTTGCCTTCCAGTCCTTGAAACGGCGCGACACCATCCGTGGGAACTAGAATCGTTTTATGACGCCACTATCCGCCCATTTGGTTTCTGTTTACATATCGTAGAAACAACAGAACTCTCAGAAATCTTCTCCTATCTCTAGCCAGACGCGCCTAAACGGAATATAAAGCTGTCCTGCCTGAAGGACTTCGTTGGTGTCTTCGAGGAAGTTAAAAGTTCGGAAATGACGAGAGCATTCTCCGAGCGAGCGAGCGAGCGAGGGAAAGAAAGAGATTCCTCGTTTCGGAGGAAAAACGAGGGTTGATCGTCCTCCTTACCTGCTTTGTCGCGCGAACGCGCCACGTCGCTCTCAATGGTAATACGCCCACGACAGTGCATTGACCGTGGGTAGAAGTTTCGGGCGACTCGCGCCACCCTAATATTCCGCCATAAATTACCCGCAGGAATGCAAGAGGGAGCAGTGTTTGCTTAACTCCGAAACTGCTCGCCAATCAAGCGAATATACCGTACATACACAAAATCCCCGAGCCGCGGTGCCAGACTCACGATCCTGAAAAATTGCGCACAATAAACGCGGACGGATTATGCGGAATTCGATAATGATCACGATTCGGCGCGTATTCCTTGTCGGACACACCGATAAATAATTTCTCCTCCGTATGAAAACTTAATCTGACGCCGTATATTTTTTCCCTCGCGAACTTTGAAGCAGCAACGAGCAGCCTCGGTTTAATCCCTTGACGAGTCCGATGCTTCATTTTTGTGCTTGCCGCTATTGCGAAGTCGACGCTCGTTACTTTCTCTCTCTCTCTCTCCCTTTCTTCAAAGTGTTTTTTACGCACTCGACGAATCCATCTCATCTTGATTCTCTCTCGGACATCATCGCGTCTCAGTCAACATCTCCGCGTAAATACGTCAACCGTACGTTTCTACGGAGGATCGTCGATGTAACATGATATTCGTGCGTTAGTTTTCTACCGGCGACTGTGCGGCCGGATGCGGAGAAGCGTCTGCGCCGACATGAACGACATTCCGGCATTAAGGCGAATCAAATTCATTATTCTAACGCGCCACAAAGTTATCGTATGTACCGCGCGCGAATTCCGCCTCTGAACGGTGACGCGGATAATAAAGGGCACGAAGAGAGAGAGAGAGGAGAGCGCGGAGCCTTTTTGTGACGCGATCGCAGAATCTGTGGCTTCAGAGAGATAAAAGGCCGGAAGGAGAAAGTTCAATGGCTGATCGTCCCGAAGGACTCTCCCACGGTTCGGCAAGGAGTTCCTATCTGTTCCCCACCCGACGCTGATTTTTTTCCCTCCCCTTGCTTCCGCGCAAGTAGGTCATAGCATATGCACGCGGATTCGCCTCTGCTCAGGCTCACACGAGAGTTTTCATTACCCCGGGTGTCACCTGGTGACACCCTCCGCGTGCACGTCGACTCGCAGTTCGCAAGGAAGACCGAGAACTACGTGGGAAAACTTTTTATTCCGGCGGCTCTTCTCGAGAAATTTCTCCGGCGTCTCGCGACTTCGAATATCTTTCGTGCAGATAAATCCTGTAGATAAATCTCGTTATCTGTTGATTAAAATGTACAAACTTATGCAGTTGAATGAAAAAGATAGCTTCGATATACAGAGAAATTCTTGCGTCTAGCGAGCGGATCGTGAGAGTACACGCGAATTTTAAAGATGCAAAGCCCGTAGGGCCAGGTTCGCTCTTCTCGATCTCGATTGTCCCTCGAGAAAGAAAGAAAGAGAGGTAGAGAGGGGGGATTAGCTTCTCAATACTACTTAACCGTTTCGCTCGTATTTCGGCGCGGTGCAGAATTGCTTCGTAATATAATCGACTCGATGGGTGCAAGCATTCCTCGGGTTGCAATTTCGTTCGCGTTATTCGTCCGCGTGGCACGAGTCGAATGAATTTTTATGCCACAATCTGCATATAATGACGCAGCTTATTGCACCGGATGTGGCACTCCCATGGGGCGCGCGAATCTTTATCTAAATATTCGATTAAAGAATGCGCCCGGGTTGCGCCGAAAAGCGCAACCCTACAAGGTAGACTCTATTAGCGCTCACCGGAAGTGGAGTATTACCGTCACCGTATTATCCCGCGATACGTCTCAATAATAATAATCGACCGTAACGAGAGCCTGTACTCTCCGGTAAGGTGCGCTCCTTCGCAACTGTCTTGTTCTGATCGGAATATTCGTGCCGCTCAGCTCCTCGACCAGACGGTAGCACTCGGTCGGCTTTCTAACGAAGTCGTTACCCGATACGACAGTCGAAAGCTCGCGGCACTTGTCCGCTACTCGTAAATATCGTAACAACGTTTCGAGGAGGGATTACGACGTCTCGCAATACTCCTCGAGAGGCGTGTGCGTAACGTACGATCAGCTGGGGATCTTTTAGCCGATGAATGTGGACCACGCACGAAAAGTGTATCGACCTTTTTTTATTCTAAACAATTCTTGCAATTTCAAGCTCTCTATCTCTCTCGAAGTAAGGAAGTCGAGCTTTTCGATAATTCGACAGAACCCAGATTTGCGGTAATCTCGATATTGTTGTCTCAAATATCGGTAATACAAATAAGAACGCTATAAAAAAAGAATACAGTGGGCTTTAACACGTTGACTGCTCGGTTCAAATTCAAAAGCAAAATGCGTTTAGCAATATGAAGACAGAAAAGTTTTATCGTTCTTCCCGAGCGAAGATAATATTCATGAAATAAAAGCCAAAGATTTGTCAAAAAATTCTTTTACATTTACATAGAGATTGAATATATCACCGGCGGCACGCACCTTGGCAGCCAGCGTGTTAATCGAGTGCGGAAGACGGAAGAGTTTATCTTCTGTCTGTCGTAAAATTCAGATTTTAAGGTTGTCAAGTGTCAGTGTCACGACATGACCGTCATACGGATGCGTACAGCCAATGGATACGCGATCCGTATTGACGTCCAATTTTCTTGCGGTCATCGGAGTCGATGAGGTCGCAAGTCGCGGCGCTACAATCATTTCGATTTGATGTCGCGTGCGAAGCTCCCACGAGGGTACACCGGTGCGATACGCCGATGAATAAACCCCCATGAAGAGAGCCAACACGATACACACGGGATCGTCTCGCTCTTCGTGGGTACCGCGGGCAGGACGAGTCGCCGATGCATCGGCATACAATGCCAGTTTCGCTCGTAATTGCGCATGGAGGTAGGCAGATGTGCATCGTGGTCGCCCCTATATTTTAATGGCCCGCCGGTGAGAATCTTTTCGGCTCACGGTAATGACGCGAATGAGCGAGCGTATACACCGTGGACAGGTAGTATGGGAATTCAAATTGCTGATAAAGCATCGTCACTCGATGAGTCGATCGCGAGAATCAACGGCCAGCTGTCGCCTTTTCGTTGTCGACCGCTGCAATTTAGCGGCTGCACTCGAGATCGTCCGATACGCGCACCAATTTACGTTATCTGCTCGTATAACGAGGGACTCGAGGCAGAAAAGATTGTAAATAGTACATTTACAGGATTATTCTTCGACAGCAGACACTCTAACATGGACCGCTATAAACGAAATTTAAACAAATTATGAATGCCCAGGATATCAGTGTATCGAGTAATTAGTCAGGATTATGCGGTTATTTAACCAAGTACCATAATTAATTTCTCGTAAACATCTAGTTTCATCTTTTTTATTACCATTACTTTTCTTCCAGATAACATCATATGTGTGTGTGTGTGTATATATATATATATATATATATATATATATAAATAACTCTAGAATCTTTTAAATATACGCGCGTCCTAGCGTAAAGAGGACACCTAAGTATCTTGGGGGCTTAAATATGAACCTTAAAAAATCGAAAAAAATGATCTTCCATATATATACATATAATACTCAATTTTATAAATATATTATATTTATGGAAATCAATGTGTGTGCGTATGTCAGTAAACAAAGAATTATACTTGATTTTTCCGAGAAACTAATTATATCGGCCAAGTGATGAACTTTCCTAATACTTCGTGATAGCCGGACAGATTGCAATCTAGACAAATATAATTGCGCATAAATGCAATTAGATAAATTTATAATCATGTAATC